TGGCACACTATCAATCTTCTCTAAACTAAGCAATACAGGTAGTTCTTGACTTACAACAGTTTGTTTTGTAACAGTTCAAAGTTACAACAGCATTGAAAAAAATGACTTATGACTGATTTTCGCACTTACGACTGCTGCAGCATCCCCATGGTCATCTGATTAAAATGCTTAGTAACTGACACATATCCATGAGCGTTGCAGTGTCCTGGGATCATGTGATCACTTTCTGCAACCTTCTGATAAGCAAAGTCAATGGGGAAGCCAGATTCACTTAACAACCATGTTACTAACTTAAGAACTGCAGTGATGCACTTAACAACTGCTGCAAGAAACGTCGTAAAATGGGACAAATTTCACTTAGCAACAGAAATTCTGGGCTCAATTGTAGTCGAAAATTGAGTACACCTGTACAAGGAAGGAGGCACCCTAAAATTAGTATTGTATTACTTGCATTTCCTGTTATCAGGACACAGTCCCTCATCACCCTCTTTCAGTGGCTTCCATTCAAAACTTTTGCACAACTCCATGCACAATTCAACCATCAACATTCTCCGTATCACCATATTTCTTTGATTCTGTTTTGAAACTCAGACACTCTATTCTCTTTAAGCCCACTGTCCATTTATCCTAATGGCATCAACGACTTCTACTTATACATGGCAGAGTGTACTTTTTGCTCCTATAACACACAGCCTTTTCCAATGTCAGCAAAACCTATCCTGAAGTTCACCTTCTTCCTTTTCACCCTGCTTATCACCACCTCCACTCCCAATCCACGTCATTGCACAACTCCTGGCTATCCCATACACAGAGACAACTCCCTTAATTTTTGACACAAAAAAACCCTTCCCTCAGCACCAAGCAATTGTTCACCCTGCCTTGTTGAATATCTTGAGGAGGGCATTTCAAAGGTATATATTTAACAACTTGTCTGGTAAGTAACTAGAACAATCCATTAGCAACCTTGAAGCTTCTTCCTTTTTACTATCTCCTTGACTAAATTAAGAGAAAACTACTGCTAAGTTCTAGTTCCCTACTATTAGTTTACTTTATAAAATACATTTTTCCAGCCTGTTATGAGATCAATACTTCTCTGCTGGTAGAATTGAACACACAAGCTCTTTTGTAAGCTAGTAACTTGCCTGGATTTACAAGGTTTTATCACATATTCTCTAGTTTAACTTACATTGTACAATAGTTTGTCATTTTGCAGTGAATAGAACTGCAGGTGTCCAGGTTTGCCATTTAGAACTAAAGCTTTCGTTCTTGGATCAACTATCAAGCCAGTCTTGACATCGCTGCCTGAAATAAAGGGTTTGAAACAGAATGGCATTTCTTCTTAAAACACAAACACAATTTCAACACCAACCCCACCCCCAAACCTTACCCTACGTACCTTTGATTAATCCTTGGATTACTGCAGAAACTTTCAAGTTGCTATGTATGATTACTATCTCTGTGTGTATTAAAGGAAGTTAATAAACATAAGAAACAAGTCTCACAAAAGGTAAAGAAAAGTTATCATCTGCAATTGGACAATTCAGAATAGCTACTAGGTCATAAGATATTTCTATTAGGAAAAAGATCTTGCTTTTGAGGGCTGTTTAAATCTTGGGAGCATTTCTTTAACTAGACTTGGAACAATTTGGTTGAAGCAGCAACCAACAAGACTGTTCAGCAGCTTTGATAGAGGCTACGAAGGGATTACTAGGACAGAAGGTCTTTGAAGATAACCAGATGCCTGGTGACCTCAAAAGTAGTCCACTGTAATGCAAAGTTATTCTTGAAGGCTGTTCAAAATTAAAATTATTTTTGAATATGGCAGCAAGATCATATTCTACAGTTAGTCACTGTAAGTAGCTAACTCCCTCCTGTGCAACACTGATGGGGTATATGTAGCTACCGAATCTTGATAAGATTTTAACTTCTAGCTTGTCTAATCAGTGCAATAAGATATAGAAGCTGGACTCCAAAATATCCCAAGGCCCCATAACAGCTCCCCATTCTAGAGTTGCAGCAGCCATAATTCTGGGATCAGGTCATGGGGGGAGGGGAGGGAAGTGTCTGCTGTAACTTTGAAGAGTCTCTAAGCAACCAGTTGAGGACTGAGCTGTGGGGGTGTAGTGGTTACAATGCAGTACTGCAAGCTAACTCACTGTTCACTCCATGAGTTTGATTCTGACTGGCTCACGGTTGACTCATCCTTCCATCCTTCTGAGGTGGGTAAAATGAGGGCCCAGATTGTTGGGGGCAATAGGCTGACTCTGTAAACCGCTTATAAAGGGCTGTAAAGTCTTAAGTGCTATTGCTATTATAACAAATTTTATATGTTAAACTAAAACCAATTATAAATCTTCCTGATTTGGTCTTACTGTTATCGGAATGTGAAGTACAAAGAAGAGTTCCATCAGGCGAGACAGAGATATGCTGTATCGTGGCTCCTAAACGAGGCAAGAATTCCTTTTTAGCATCTGACCCATCTCGCCACTGAACCAGCACCGATTCAATCCCACCACTCAGGAGGCTAGTGCCTGTTGTTCCAAACAAAAGAAATAAATGAGTCAGAGGGCAGATGAATCAATTAACAGCCAGTAAGATAATAACTTACAATACGAATAACAAGTAAGAAGCCAAGAACAACTGAGCAACAGTTCTCAATTTTTTTTCAATTTACTCAAGTGATTTAAATTATTTTACATTTATGCCATAGTTAATAATAAAGCCAATTCTGGCTTTGGCTGAGCAGCCTGTACAAGTATTTGGATCCTACGAGGATTTAATAACTTGTCATACTAAGTGGAATTAAAAAGGGCTAAGACCACAATCTTACTGAGGAATGAACTCAGTTAACTGATTCCCTCCAAACTGTGCAGCACTGTATATGATAAATGTTCTGCTGGAAAGGTATATAATCATTATATATTTTTATCTCTCTGTATATAATAGGTCTCACAAACTGAAATTCAACTTCTGTAATGCTACAGTTAACGTTCACTTTAACAAGGGCTTAAGGTTTTTCTTTTAACATAAGAAACAGGATTTTCCAAGCAAAACCTTACACTTTGCTTACGTTAGCAGAAAAATATGTTCTGCTGCCACACAGCAAAATTCCTCCTGTTTCCTGTTCAAATAAGAAGCCAAGAATAAAATAAACACCGCAGGGGCCACCTCAAGTGCTTGGCAAGGTCCAGAATTTTCCAACAGAGAGAGCTGATTTTCCCCCAGCTACTTAGGGAATGGCTCAACTTCCCTGTTTACATACACTGATATAAAACAGGCGCGGCCATTTTATTACCTTGCCATTAATCAACCTGTAACCATGATTTTAAAAATGTTTTTGCTGTTGAAGGCATTTCTAAACCCTCATCTTTGATAGATTTACAGGTAGTCCTCAGCTTACCACATTTGAGTACCACATTTCTGTTGCTAAGTGAGGCATTTGTTAAGTGAGTTTTGCCCCATTTTATGATCTTTCTTGCCACAGTGACGGCAAGTGAATCTCTGCGGTTGTTAGCTAGTAACATGATTGTTAAGTGAATCTGGTTTCCCCATTTGCTCGTCAGAACGTTGCAAAAAGTGATCACATGACCTCAGGATCACATTGCGGCCGTCATAAATATGAGTCACTTGCTAAGTGTCTGAATTTTGATCACGTGACCATTGGAAATGCCATTGTTGTTAGTGTGAAAAATGGTCGTAAGTCACTTTTCTCAACATCAATGGAAATTTGAATGGTCATGAAGTGAACGGTTAAAAGTCAAGGACTACCTGTATTTAGTATATCCAATTGTTTTTCTTGTAGAAATATTTGATGTTTTTGTACCACATTTTCAGCAGTCTGCATATTTACAGATCATTAAAATGTGCATGCTTAAAAGATTAGTAGCATATAGACTACTTCAAAATATTCCCTCTCAAAACTGGACTTTCAAAACTCAGGCAATTTTACCTTCTACAGAGAAAGCAAGATCGATAACTTCATTGTGATGCCAGTGCATTGTGGAAAACGTATATTCTCGCTTATGATTAAAATTTCTCCTACAGGAATAAAAAACAAACACTGAGTTGCAATCAACTTCTCAAGAGTTTAAAAGGAGCTAATATACTCCTTTGGTCAAGTGTTAAACCAACCTTCCCCAATCCAATAGTGTGAATTTCTCTCTCTAGCCAGGCAGTATGGCCAATACAGAGAACTGAGGACACTGAAGTCTGCACATCCAGAGACACTTTAGCTGAAGGCATCAGTGCTAAATATTTTTTATTCTTGAGCTTGCAAAATAAGAATATTTACTTCTTTTACATTATACCTAAACCCTAACCAAGAAAATATAGTTGAAAACACATGTCTGCTTTCACATGCGCATCACTTGCTTGGATGTAAACTACTGCAAAGGAATAATTAATAAGCAATCTTCAAGCCCAAAGCATTTACATTTCATTGAGAGAAATGAAAGAAGAGGGCAATTGCTCCACAATTGTACAGAAGGCAATTGCTCCAGGATGGGTCAGATTTGGAATTTTGAGAGCATGCTTCTATCACATACAAAATAGTTGTCATGAGAGACATGGCTATTCACAAAGTAGCTGTTAGAGTGAATGTGTTATAAAAAGCCATTTGCCAAAGACAACAAGCCTCCATCTATAAGTTTTTTACTATCTCATCCCAAGGACCTTTGTGGGTTCAAAGGCACTGTTGCAAATAAATATGCTAGAACATGGTGTCTTGCAGCAAGCATACAAGCCTTCTATTTCATTCTCAATTAGTGTTTCAAATCAAGTGTGGAGCCCAACGTACAATGAAATGTGTATCTTTTTCAATGTTGTCAAAAGCTATTTGACTTTTTTTTCTTTACACATAGAAAACATCCGATTAAGAACCAAAAACCTCCTACTGTCGTTCACTGATTTATCAAGTTTATATAGCTTTGCATACATTTTTTGTAATTAGTCCCAAGAATGATCTGAAGGCAAATACCATCACTCAAGAAAAAGTAGTTTTACCTACAATATCCCTGCAAATCTGAATTCTTTGCCAAAAGACTGTCCTCTAATTGCATTCGCCATTGAAAAAAATATTTCTCTTTATGTTCTGAATGCAGCCCAGCATGCCATATTATTAATTCATATTCCCCTGAAGGATAATCATGACCTCTGATTAAAATTTAGGAATTTTAATACATTTAAGCTACCAGCAGAGGAAAAATATCTACAACAAAAGTCTTCCAAGAATGAGCACTATGCTGGTTATTATCAAGGCTCATTATCTTAAGGTTTTATTTCTCTGTACAACCCAGTCAGTGATATTTCAAGCTAGGCATGACAGTATTAATTTTATTTTTCAACTTGTGATCTATAATGGATTGAATCCCCCTCCAATCTCTATTTAGAGTCAGACTTTTCTTAATTTACAATAAATCAGTGCCATCTTGCAATCTTCATCGAACATATTTTCATCTGGAATTCTTCCATTCATCTGAAAACAGCTTTTTATCAAGCGTCTAGTCCAGGCATGTCCAACCTGTAGACTACATATAGCCCTGGACAACTAGTAACACAGCCCCACAAGATCATAAAGGTTTGTTATGTATATTCATTAACTATATCTGGTTTATATGCAGTTCAACACTATTCCTCTTCATTCAATCAAACCCAGGCAAGTCAAAAAGCTGGGCAGCCATGATCTAGAACAGGGGTGTCCAACCTTGGCAACTTTAAGACTTGTGGACTTCAACTCCCAGAGTTCCTCAGCCAGCTGGCTGAGGAACTCTGGGAGTTGAA